GCAATCCAGCAGTTTTGCAGCTCTGACACTCTCAGTGTGGCATCAGGCAGACAGGCCAGCTGGATGTAGGGGCTGCACTGGACAGGATGGTCCAATTCCAGCAAAGCAATATCATAGCTCATGTCAGCACGACTGTAGTCCGCATGTGTCACCAGCTTCCTGATACTGCGCACTTGTGCCCCAGGGCCCGGCTGAGTCAACTGGGTAGCCCCGATGACCACAGACACCATGCTGATGTTCCTGCAAGGCAGATGGRGAGAGGGCTGAGAGSGAKCAGAGCCAGGCATTGCAGCAGCCCAGCAGCTGCCAGAMCTCTGCTTGGCAAGGCAGAGAGGGAGCAGTGCTCTGGCACGTGTGAGTGCCAGAGCACCCTTGGACTGGGAAATGGCGAGCTGGAGGCTGCTGGGAAGCATTGGCACGAGCCCAGGCTTCTCCTGAGCAGTGTGGCAGCTGRGCTGACTGGGAGGAAAGGGGATGSGAGTAGCAGGTGCTGCTGGCAGAGCACCTGCTGGTGTAGTGGGGATGTCCCCATTCCCTGCTCCTTCTTACGTGATCTTGCCGAAGCAATGGGCTGCTGTGAGGACCCACTCGGTGCCAATGAGGGTCCCTCCACAAAGATGCATCAGGTCTGGCATCCAGGGATGCTGGATGCTGACGATCCATGGCCAGGACCCTGGCAGGGCACCTGTGCCACCCACAACGCGTGTCATGCCATAGTCATAAGCCACATGGCCGTAGTAATAAGTCATGGGATAGTAGTCAGACACCACGGCTCGGAGCCCGCACGTCCCCCTGCAAGCAGAAAGTCATTTCCATGCTGTCATTTGCACCTGCTGTGGCTCAGGCTGGAGCTCAGCCCTCTGCCCTCCCCACAAGGGCTTGYACYCACAGCAGGCCAGGGAAGCCCATGGGGTGTGTGTCTGTCTGTGCCAGCACCTGGCTGCTGCCAAGGAACTGAGGAACTGCCATGGCAGGTGAGAAGCTGTGGCCCGGTTATGGGGGACAGTTGGGCCTCCTCCAGGGAAGGCCCAAAGTGTTACCACAGATCCCTCCCAGGGCCTGGGGCCACTTACCCGCAGTTGTCCCATGTACTGTGTGCCAATCCAGCCACAGCCAGCAGGATGAGGGGTCTCAGCCAATTCATGGCTGCCAGAGGCACGAGTCAGCTGCAGGCACTGAGAGCTCCTTGCAGCAGCACAGCCAGAGCCGCAGTGSCCACAGCAGCCACACTGCCCTCAGCCCTGGGGCTGATGTCATGGAGGGGTGGGTTCTTTGTTCTGGGCACTGTGGCTTGTGGCATGGGGACCCATTGGGGGAGTCTCAACAAGGAGCCATGAATGGTTTGGG